GGCCCTTGATGCTTAGAAGAAAGAAGGTAAAGGTAACACACCTGGGGAGAAGAAGAGGGGGAGGGAGAGGAGAACGGCATGGATGGGCTCCCAGGAGGGAGAGTGTGAGAGGGAGAGTGTGCGGTTCTTCTTCCCAAGGGCTTTTAAGGGAGAAGAAAGAAAGGGGGTGTGGTGCGGGGGAGGCGGGAGAGGAGAGACCAGTGGGGGAGAAGGAGAAAGGCATTATGCACCAGCTGTGAGGCGCTCCCTCTGGTGGTCATTCTGAGAAACTGTGGGCAGGATGGACTGCTTTCCAGGGAGAAGCCCAGATAATCAGCAAAGCTGAGAGGGGGACTTACAGAGATAGCTAAAGGAGTTATTTCTACTGACTTTGGTGGAGAAGAGCTAAATCTTCTCTGGCCTGGTCAGCATGGAGAATTCTGAGCCTGGGGCTTGGACCAGACAGGCCTTCCATGCTCTGGTGATGAATGTGCTGGATGGGCACTCACCGTAGGCTGAATAATGGCCTCCAAAGATGACCACATCCTAAGGTCCAGAGCCTGTGAATGCCACCTTAGATAGCAAAGGGACCCTGCAGAGGTGATTAAGTTAAGGAGTTCGAGAGTATCCTGGATTCGTCTGTATTCTGGAATTTTGATGTTGCTTTTTTTTTCTGATCATATTTTGGAGCCAATATATTTTCCAGTAAATAAGCATGTGCTCTGTCTGGCCTGGATGGGTGCCCTCATCTGTGCCTTCACCATGGGCCCACCTTATGAAGCCACTTTGTCACTTTACATCCTAGACAGTTTCTTTTGAACATCCCGAAAGCCCTTCAAGCCTACTGTGTCCAAAACTGACATAAGACCACACACTTGCTCCTCCTGCATTCCCTAGCTGCCATTGGCAACCCCCACACACAAGCCTCCCCCAATTCAGCACTCTGGGGTCATCCCGGACTCTTCCTGTTAGTTAGGTGGCTCAGGAGGCGGCAAAGGAAATAAAGAGAGTTGATCAGAAAAGGAAGGAAGGAAGGAAAGTTTATTCTGCGTCCCCGGGAGACCCACGTATCACCAAAGACAGGGCACATGGATTCACGCCAACAGGGAGGGGGGCGCTTTTTTTATACTGCGGTTGAGTGAGGGGCAGGGACATGAGCTGAGGTATTCAGTTGAGGAAGTTTCAGCTGCAGGGGGTCAGCAAGGTATTCAGGAATGAGTCAGTATCTGTGTGGGGGTAGTGGAGAAGCCAGTATCTGTGTCTGGCATGCTGATCTGTTAGAAATGCCAGGGGGAGTCCATTATCTCATCATACATCTGCATGTGTCCGATCCTGGGCTCTCTCCGACCTAACATCCCGGCCTTTTGGTGATAAGGGACACGGACTCATTCTAACTGCTTCCAGCTGACCAAGGGCGACGATGAGGGGGTGGGCGTTTAAAGGCCAGGGTTAGGCAGAGGCAGGTCAGAGGGGAGCCAAGTGTAGGGATGGAGCAGGAGTTGATTCACAGTCACCCATGACATCTCCGTGATCCGGGAGCAGATGAACTTGAGGAGGCAGGGGGCTAGGAGAAAAAAGACACAGATGAGAATCAGGGGCCCTATCATGGGTAGGACCCAGGTAGCTAAGGGGCTTTGGAACCAGCCGAAAGGAGAGTTGTCCTGGAAGTGTCTTGCATGTAGTTCTTCACTCAGCTTAGTCAGGGTCTGTACGTTTTGCTCCACTACTCCGGACTCGTTGATGTAGTAGCAGCATTCTTCCTGAAGGAATATGCTGGTTCCTCCTTTTTCTGCAGTCAGAAGGTCTGAGGTGCGCTGGTTCTGAAGGGCTACCTGGGCTACTGATGTCACTTGCCGCTGTAGGGAGGCTAAAAGAGGCGGTAGTAGACTCCAGGGCTAACTGGAGCTTGTCATTAAAGTACTGAGCAGTGACCAGACTGTTCCCGAGGGCCCCCCAGTGAGGCCTACTGAGGCAGATACTCACCCCTAACATGACAGGGAGGAAGGCGGCCCGGAGGGTCCGGGGGTGGGATGGAGGGAGCAGCCAGGCGAGCTCCGACTCTCCATACAAGGTTAGTTGGGGAACTACTGTGACCATGAAGCAAGGCCCGGGTCAGAGGAGTTCATGCAGTTGCTAAAGGTGCCGTTGCACCAAAAGAAGGTAGCCAGGCTGGCCTTGGTGAGACTGGATGCGGTGTGGTATGACACAGTCTCTCCAGTGGCAACCCCCACAGGTGTTGACATCTTGATTACACCTGTCTGGGTCCCGTTGGTCGTAAGCAAAACAGGCATAGGGTCAGCCAGTATTGGACACTGACTGGATGTTGACAGCCATCTGGATCTTTGTCTGGCATCCGAACAGAGGGCAGTCCTGAGATCCTACCTGCCGGGTGACTTGTTTGCCGTTTTGGTAGTAGGTTTCACAGACCTTGAACCTCCACACAAGAGGGTGGGGGTGGGTGTAGGTTGCTCAGGGCCGGGAGGAGGAGGAGGGGAGGGCGGTTAAGGCAGACCTTAGTGGGGCCCAACACCTCACATTTATAGAAGTCATGCTGCTCCGGGGTCCTCTTGAGTCTGGAGAGGTGGTGCCAGGACAGGTCGTCAAGCTGGGGTCGCCAAGCAGCTTGGCCTTAACCACCCTGCCCTCCTCCTCCTCCTCCCGGGTTTCGGCACCAAATGTTAGGATAGGTGGCTCAGGAGGCAGCGAAGGAAATAAAGAGAATAGATCAGAAAAGGAAGGAAGGAAGGAAAGTTTATTCTACGTCCCCGGGAGACCCACGTACCCCCAAGGACAGGGCACGTGGATTCACGCCAACAGGGAGGGGGGCGCTTTTTTTATGCTGCGGTTGGGTGAGGGGCGGGGACATGAGCTGAGGTATTCAGCTGAGGAAGTTTCAGCTGCAGGGGGTCAGCAAGGTATTCAGGAATGAGTCAGTATCTGTGTGGGGGTAGAGGAGAAGCCAGTATCTGTCTGGCATGCTGATCTGTTAGAAATGCCAGGGGGAGTCCATTATCTCATCACACGTCTGCATGTATCCGATCCTGGGCTCTCTCCGACCTAACACTTCCCTCTCTGTCACTCTCCACATTCAGTTATTTGGAAAGTCCGGCCATTTCTTAGGCACCCCTCTCAACTCCCATCTTCTTTCCTCTGTCTCCACTGCCTTTACTTGCAGGCCAGACCACAGTCACCTCTTTACTGGACCCTGTTACAGCCTCCTCCCAGTCTTGCTGTCTCCAGGCTGGCCCCGCCTGCCCCTTCTCCCCACAGCAGCAGCCAGAAAGAGTTGTTAAGACCCACATCTGAACATGTTGCTCTCTTTGCTCAGGCAGAGCAGGTGAACGATGGTTGTTTTGGTTTCCAGTAGCCAATGGGCTGCGTTGATCCTTGCCCTTCTCCAGGATTTCCTAAGAGACCACACCTGCTGATGGCAGATGGCCTCCAGCCATGTCGCTGCCTACTGAATTGTGATACCCAGTTCCGCCCGAAAGCCAGCTGCAGCTTCCTTCCTCTGTGACCACCACTGTGACCAGAAGGGCCCTGCACTGTGTTAACATAAAAACCATTGAAACCTGTAAAGAATTTTTGTGAGTTTATTTGAGCCAAACTGTCGACATATGCCGGGAAGCAGAACCTCAACAAATTGAGATACTGCTCTGGAGAATGGCGGGTTACATTTGTATTTATACATTTCAATCAAAGGAGGAACATAGGTGGGTTACATGAAACTCATTGGTGATAGATTAAGGAGGAGGGATAAAGCAAAGCAGGGAAACCCCTGGGATTGGATAAAAAGTAAAATGATGGACACATACTTAGGTGGGTGCAGGATCAATTCACATGATAATGAAGGAATTTGTGGTATCTGTCCTGGCGCCCAGCACATTTGGTTGTGCCCCAGGGGCTCCAGAAAAAGGGAAGTTATAAGTTACCCAGACATTTCAAGGGTGTGTTATCATCGATGCAAAAAGACAGATAGGCTCAGTTAAGGTAAAGGTTGACCTTGTCAGTGAAGATACTGGCCTAGGAGGTAACTGCCCACCATAACTGCTTTTAGTCAAAGTTTAATTTCAGACCATCCTTTGTGGTGACTTTAGGTCTCTGAGTTTGCAAGACTGCCATGCAGGCCTTCCCTGAGCCTGTCAGGTCAGCGTGTGGCCCCTTTCGTCCACAACTGCAAGGCCAGCAGAATCCTTCAAAGGCCTCTATAGCCTGGAGACCCATCTTCCTCATGACAAGCACAGGAAGCTGCTCCTGCCATCAAACACCATTTACTGCAAGAGCAGTTTGGGAAAGGATTTCTATAATTTCAAGTTTGGCGAAGAGTAAATTATTCCTTTTGTTTTAGAACTTGAACAATATTCATCACAACTAAATAAGAATTGCTTTGGGTTGCCCATGACTAATTTGACATAATATTGCATTTGTAGATATTTAAACACATATTAATATTTTTAAATAATTTTTAAAGATTTTTAAAAATAGATTTTTATTGATCAGAGAGGAAGGAAGGGAGAAGGAGAGAGAGATAGAAACATCAATGATGAGAGAGAATTGATGAGAGAGAATCATTCATCGGCTGCCTCCTGCATGCCCACTACTGGGGATTGAGTCCGCAACCCGGGCATGTTCCCTTGACCAGAATCGAACCCGGGACCCTTTAGTCTGCAGGTCGATGCTCTATCCACTGAGCCAAACTGACTAGGCTACACACATATTAATTTTGATGTTGCTTTTTTTTTTTTTCTGATCACATTTTGGAGCCAATATATTTTTCTTCTCAGGGCTTAAATATTTGCATAAGTGCTTGAAAAGCTTATGGGCCCCAAGTCATGAGGCCATGAGATTATAAAAAGGTAATCGCTGGGTCTCTGTAAAGAGGCCTGGCCCACCAGAGAGCTTAGTGCTGAGCTCACACCACAGCTGGGTGGCTGGGGTGGGGGGTTCCCAGCTCCTCACACAAGGGCATCAATGTGTGGACGAAAGGGGCCACATGCTGACCTGACAAGCTCAGGGGAGGCTGCATGGCAGTCTTCCAAACTCAGAGACCTAAAGTCACCACAAAGGATGGTCTGAAATTAAACTTTAACTAAAAGCAGTTACGGTGGGCAGTTACATCCTAGGCCAGTATCTTCACTGACAAGGTCAACCTTTACCTTAACTGAGCCTATCTGTCTTTTTGCATCTATGATAACATACCCTTGAAATGTCTGGGTAACTTGTAACTTCCCTTTTTCTGGAGCCCCTGGGGCACAACCAAATGTGCTGGGTGCCAGGACAGATACCACAAATTCTTTCATTATCATGTGAATTGATCCTGCACCCACCTAAGTATGTGTCCATCATTTTACTTTTTATCCAATCCCAGGGGTTTCCCTGCTTTGCTTTATCCCTCCTCCTTAATCTATCACCAATGAATTTCATGTAACCCACCTATGCCATTCTCCGGAGCAGTATCTCAATTCGTTGAGGTTCTGCTTCCAGGCATATGTTGACGGTTTGGATCAAATAAACCCATAAAAATTCTTTACAGGTTTCAATGGTTTTTACAAATGGTTAACAAATGTCACCCCTGATGTGCCATGGAGGGCCTGGAGGTGAGAAGAGTGGGAAAGAGGCCTTGGGTGGGTTGGAAATTCAGAGCACCTCCCTATCCCACCTTGTACCTTCCTGCTGTTCTCTTGCCCACCCTGCCCTCACCCCATGTGCTGCTGGCTCAGATGTAGCTCTCTTTAAGTGTGGCTCCTCCAAGAACTTAAGGCCCTGAGCTAAATAAATGAAGAGAGATCAGAGCTGTTGGCTCGCCGACACCTCAGTCTCATATTTTCAATATCCTATTTTCCCAGCATCCAACCGCACAGGGCTGTCTGTATAATGGAAAGCATAGAGACTTTGGGCTTATAAACGCCTTGTTACAGTTAAGCCCCTCTTGTACTGGGGAAATGGAACCAACTGTGGTCGAGGGTAGTCTAGGGTATGGGGCAAGTTAATATTAGTAGTCGGGGCAACGGGGCAAGTTAATATTAGTAGTCGGGGCAACGGGGCAAGTTTATATTAGTAGCTAGAGCAACGGGGCAAGTTAATTAATGAGTACCTTAGTAATGGGGCAGTATTAATTAATGTAGCCCTAGTAACTTTGTCTGTATCCCAGGTAACTTTGTATGTGTTTAGCCAACCGTTGTATGTTTTTTTGTGAATAAAAGGCTGGCCTTGAACCAGGTTCGGGGCTGTCGTAGGAGAACACGCCTACGGCAGTCGCTGGCCAGCTTTCAATAAATCCTCACTTGCTGCTTAAGACCTCATTGGAGTTGGTGGTCTTACTCTCGCGAATGTTGGTCCATAACAGCCTGACTCATGCTAGCTCAGCCTTGAATTAGTTCCTTGGTTTGGGGCAAGTCACTTCCTCTCTCTGAGCCCTGATTTCCTTGTCTGCCTAATGAGATGAATAAAACCAACTCATGGACTACTGTCAGGATCAAATATGAAGGCACTAGCATATGCTTGGCAGTCTGTAGGCACTTGGTAAAGGATAGTTTCCTTCCCTCAAGCCATTTCTGAACCCACAACCTCACCGAGTTTGGTCCACCCTGTCTCAGTTTCCTCTTCTTTTTAGGTAGTCCTTGCCCCCAGGTCACCAGGATGACAATCCTATGTGAGAAAGGGAATGAGAAGGCCATTAGCATCATAATTGCTATGCCCCAGTTACAGTGCTGGGTGTTTTAAGCAGGTGACATTATCACTATTTAAATCCAGCTGGAGAAGAATATTTCTCTTATTTCAACAGGTTCTGCTCCCCTTTTCTCACCCTCAGTACCCCCAGTGCTCTGCTACTCTGCAGAGATGCAGAAGCAAAATGTGGATCCTCTTGGCCAAATTTCAAGCCACGGCCCCCCATAGTCATCCAGAGAAAATTGATTCTGACTAAAAACTATTTCCCCTGACCATTTCACTTGACTCTACTGTTTTAGCCCAGCAGGAGGGCATATCTTTTAAAATAGAAAAAAAAATGTAATCACTTAATTTCAATGCTCATCATCAAAGATTTTGAGTCAGCAAACCAGTATGATGGATTGTGGCCAATGCATTTTCCTTTCAGA